ACAATGAGATCATGACCTGAGCCGAAGTCGGACGCCTAACCGACAGAGCCACCCAGGCGCCCCTTCACTTAGGTATTCTTAAGTTTTCTCCTCAAAGTCTTCACGGTAGCATTTATAATGCAAAATGCCAAGAGGCTATAAGGAGTTCCAGTGCATCAGGAAAAAAAAAAACTATGGAAGGGCAATCAGAAGGAACCATAGCAAGTAATCAAAAACAGTAAATGTATTCTTCACCTAGGAGTAGAAAACCCTTGAGTGAGGTATTTGAGGTGCAGAGAGAGGAAGTGACTTGTTCAAGGCCAGATAACAAGTCTGTAGAAGAGCGATAAATAGAACTCACGTCCCCTGATTCCTGGATGGTTGCTTGGGGACCACAACCTTATGCTACCTCTTCAAAAACCAACACAACCAAAGCACTACAGCAATTACCTTTCTGAAAAGTGTTGTTCTACTCTTCACCTCTGCTCCAGCCCTATCAATAGCAGACAGACTTCTTGGAGTGCCTCCTAGAAACAGAAGAAGGAAAACCCTTTAGCCCAACAAGCTGGAGCTAGCCCAGAAAATCCCCTCACAAAGGTGGCGCTGTGGTGTTCTCTGCCAGGGCCACCTCAGCATTCACAGGGCATGAAGGCTGTTTCCCTTCACCTCACCTCTCTCCCGGCAGGCTTCTGTCAATTTTCTTTGACAAGCCATTTGAATTTGAGAGTCTCTCTACAAAGGGCCTGCCCTCTCCAGTGATGGCCACAAGGCCTCAGTTTTTGCTTCTCCAATCCCTTCTAGGGGGTTCACCAGAAAGCATGCTTTGTTTAAGGGACAGCTTTGATCTCCCCTTTTGATTTCTGATTGGTAGTGGCCATGAGGCTGTATCATTTTCAGGGCACAGGGCAGAGAGCAGAGGGCAAGGGTTAACAGGGAGAGCGGGGAAAAAAAAGGCCACTCTCTTCAATACCCATCCGTGCCCTTACTGGAAGTGACAGCAAGGATAATTTGGAAGGGCTACTGATCAGATGCCTGTAGTTAGCTGGGCTTTGCACCAAGAGAAGAGGACCACTTCAGAGATACTGGGTTTGGTTTTCTTAGGATTAAGTCATGTCTTCTAGACTAAAACTCGAATGAGCTGTACCAGGGACAAACTCCCTGTCCAGAAACACTCACCTGTTGCAAGCAAGCACTTTTCATAGGTTATTTGAGAGCCATCATTAAGTTTCACCATGTTGCCTCTCACATCCAGCTGCACTACCTGGTACATACACAGAAAGAGGGAGAAATGCATTAGCTTAAAACAGTTTTTTATTGAGACATAATTCACACAACATAAAATTTACCACTTTAAAGTGTACAATTCGGTGGTTTTTAGTATATTCACAAGGTTGTGCAGCCATCACCACTATAATTATAGCTCATTTCCATTACCCCAAAAAGGAACCCTGTACCTTTTAGCCATCAGTCTAGTGAGAAGAATTAGTTCTTGACCTAAGGTGATGCTTAAGAAACCATTTATTTATATATTTTTATAATTTTTTTATGTTTATTTATTTTTGGGAGATAGAGCGGGAGAGGGGCATAGAGAGAGGCAGACACAGAATCTGAAGCAGGCTCCAGGCTCTGAGCTGTCAGCACAGAGCCCGACACGGGACTCGAACCCACAAAGCGCAGGATCATGACCTGGGCCGAAGTCAGACACTCAACCGACTGAGCCATCCAGGTGCCCCAAGAAACCATTTCTAAGTAATCACTGGCACCACGGTTTCTGGTACCCAGCCTCTTCAAGTGGTCACAGTTGCTTTTTTTTTTTTTTTTTTAAGA